GCAGCTGTCTTCACTATATTATAAAATTTTACAAAACAATAAGAAAAACACCAATGTGTAAATAGAACAATGGATAAAAGTTAGGTATAATGGGTGATTCTTGGAAAAGCCCCACATGGAGCCTGCATGAAATTTTTCCTTCTTCCAGCAGCGCAGGGTGTTTAAGACATGCTTAAAGAATGCATTGTTCCTGTGAGATATGTGCTTATCTGTCCTGGAGGAAAAATTAATAACATGTAAAAATCTTCTGTTTAAACTCCCTTTGTTTAGGAATCCTTTTTACTTATTCTTTTAATATGTATCCCTCTTCAATGTCATTCAGGGGAGATAGGCCACTTTGTTTTTCACAGCAAAAGAAAGTTATGTGGGACTATACCAGGGATTAAGGCCTTTTGAGATTTTTGTCAAAGGGGCAAGATTCATCTGGTATAAGTTTCATTCATCATGGTCACTCAGCCTCTCACTCAGAAAGGCATGCCGGAGCCAGAACAGCCTCTGCTTGCTGAAGCTATAGTCTCAAAGCTTCTTATAGGAACTCAGCTTCAGACCACAGGTCACTTCTGTCATTGGCCCCTAATAATGTACAAGCCATACCAGGACTATTCCCATCTCGTGACAATATCTATTTCCATCTTGTGGCAATAAGTGAACATGATGTAGATACTGTTAAATAAAATTTATGGGGAAATTGTTGTTTTGGACTGAGCTCCTTCACTAGGTCTCAACAGAATAGACCAAAACAGAATGGAGTCACTTCTGCTAGGTGCCATATATAATCAAAGAGAACTTTAAAACAAGGCAGTTTTCCAGAAAACAGGAAATTCACAGCAACCAAATCAGAAGGGTCCTAGTCAACCTGAGCTGGCATGGTAAGAAGGCTTCTGCTGCTTTAACCCTACAAGGAAAATAACTGAAATAACCAATCTACTTCTTCTGAAAATATCTTTTTCTGTTCTTACACTTTGTTAGTAGTTTGGGTACAGATTTGTGTATTAAAACTCATCTTGAAGGCAATGCTCCACACTAACTTCTACTTTCTACCATTGCCACTGAGAAGTCTGATTTTAATTTTTGTTCCTTTACATGTGATCTATTCCTCCCACCTTTGGAATCTTTTAGGATCTTCTCTTTATCCCTAGTTATATAAATTTTATAATAATATGATTTTGGGTAAGTCTTTTTAAACTTACAGTGTTGGGTAATCAGTGGCTCTTTGCAGTCTAGAGGGACATGTTCTTCAGTTTTTCTGTATTATTTCTTTGATAATTTTATCCCTTCATTTCTGTTTGTTCTTTCTGGAGCTCGTTTTAGATGTTGAACCTGTGGTGATTGAGCCTAAATTTTTCTTATACTTTCTTGTTTATTTACCATCTGCATTGTTTTTGTTCTGTTCTTAGAGAGATTTCCTTAACTTTTTAAAAATTTTATGCTAACGTTTATTTTTGTTGTTGTTTTTTCTTCTTCTTCTTCTTCTTTTTTTTTTTTTTTTGAGACAGTCTCACTCTGTTGCCTGGGCTAGAGTGCCATGGTGTCAGCCTAGCTCATAGCAACCTCAAACTCCTGGCCTCAAGTGATTCTCCTGCCTCACTCTCCTGGGTAGCTGGGATTATAGGCACTCTCCATGTTGCCCAGCTATTTTTTTCTATTTTTAGTTGTTTGGCTAACTTCTTTCTATTTATAGTAGAGATGGGGTTTCACTCTTGCTCAGGCTGGTCTCGAACTCCTGAGCTCAAGCAATCCTCCCGCCTCAGCCTCTTAAGAGTGCTAGGATTACAGATGTGAGCCACTGTGCCCGGCCTATTTCTAAGAGCTCTTTCTTCATTGAGTTTTTCATCTTTTATAGCATCCTTTTCTTGTTTCATTAATGTAATATTTTCTTGTATGACTCTGAGAATATTAATTGTAGTTGCCATTTTTTTTAAGTTATCTTCTATTCCTTGTATTGTCTCTCTTTTCTCTGAGTTACTCCCCCCCCCAGTTTGTTTAGTTTCTGTTTTTAATGTTAGATAAATTCTTTAAATGTTTGGTTATCTTTGGTTGTCCATTTGTATTTAAGAGTGAAGCACTGAGAAGCTGTTGGTGCTCTGTACATGTGGAAAGTGCTTCACTATAGAATGGCTGGGCAGAATTATAGATCTTTTCCCTTGATTTAGTCAGAATTCTCAGAGGAGACTATGCCAATCTTCAGCTAGGGTGGGTCAGGAGCAGTTAAGAAATAAGAGTTATTCTCTGTAATTATTCTCTGACTACTCATGTATTGTGAGCTAGCCAAGGGAAAGAGATTGGGGAAATTCACCATTCAGTAAACAGAATTTTATTCAGTCCCCTGTTTTTAGCATGGCCTTTTATCTCCACCTTCCACTGTATCTAGTATCTCCAAGTCCAGATAACCTTATTCAACCATTCCAGGAAACATAGGCAAAACTAACAAAAACCCATATCTCCCAAGATGAGGAAAGGTAGTTGCCAGACCACAAGGGTAGGGGATGGGAATCAAAAGGTCATACTGTTCCTTTGTCATACTTTCAACCAAGCCACTTCTATTTAGCCCTATACCATACTTCTGCCTTCAAATATGCCTGGGGCCTCCATGTGCTGAGCTTTTCTTGGGTCTACAGCTTGATTCAGTTTTCTTCTTCTTGGCTTCTCATTCTGTATACATTGAGATTTCATTTTTCTCTTTTCTGCTTTATGTCTTATTTTGTTGACTTCTCTCATCTGCATTGTTTCTTCTCCCAATCTCTTTGAATTTGTAGGTTTATACCATTTATTACTCCTTTCATATTATTTCAGTATGGTTTCAAGAGGGAACAGAAATACATGCATGTATTCAACTGCTAAATGAAAAGAGAAAGTGTGTATAATTATATTAACTGAAAAAATTAGGGTAAAAATTATATATGTTATATAATTCCAGTGTTGTAAAAGAAAAATCACAGTGTGTATTGATTGGAAGGAAATATAATAACATTTCAACCATGGTTAACTCTAGATAGTAGGATTGTAATAGAGTAGTCGCCCTTCTTCCCATAGATATGAAGGGTAATACTGACCGGGGGGGAAATATGTAAAAGAAGAAATGGCTTGAAAAAAATGGCAAAAATGTTTTCTATCTCTCTAAAACATCCCCTACTCCTTTTGGAGAACTAGGACCTATATCCTTGCCTCAGGCCAGTGGTCAGGAGGGGCAGGGGAGTATCCTTTGTTCTCTGTGCCACAGAAAATGGTATTAATCCAGGTGGAGATCATGAGATTGTTTTAGCTGCAGATGGGATTGATTAGAACCTTTAAAAACTCTGTACTTCTGCTCAGCAGGATGCTGGTACTTTGAGATGGGAGTCTGACAGCCTCCTCATTTGCTGGCAAATTAATAAACTCCTCTTTCCTTCTTCTCAGACTACTTGTCCTGGTTCTTCTGATGGGACCTTTGAGACAAGTACTAAACTTTCAGTAATAGGATTATGGGTGGTTTTTATTTTTCTTCATACTCTTTTTACATTTGCTAGGTTTTCTAAAATGGGCATATATTACTTTTATTTATCTCATATAAATAACATTTGTTTGTTTAAATGAACCTGTCCTTGGGATATTGAATTTAACAATAGAGAGAAGTATTTATTCTACATCCTTCTTATCTGTTTCTTGTGATCTGTAAATGGGAATACATAATCTATAATTTGTTTTGGCAATGACAATCTCAAGATTCTAATTAAGTACATACTTTTAAAAATTCCTGAGTAAAAATCCTTACCTAGATACAGTTTACTGATAAGCATTTTTGGTGATTGTTTTGTTTATTCTTATATTATTTTACATTTTGTTTGTTTGTTTTAAACCTAAATAATGGGTTTGCTGGGCAGAGCATAATGGCTAATTCCTGTAATCCTAGCACTTCAGGAGGCCTAGGCAGGAGGATCACTTGAGCCCAGAAGTTCGAAGCTGCGGTGATCTATGATGACACCACTGCATTCTAGCCTGGGCAACAGAGGGAGACTCTGTCTCAAAAAATAAAGAAATAAAATTATTAATAATAATGGAATTTCTGGAGACAAACAGAATTCTCTGTTTCTCTGAGGAACAGTAACATAAAGTAGTTAAGTTCTCAGACAGTGCTGAGTTTGAACCCCATTGTGCCATTTACTGTTTGTCTTCTGAGACATAGATGCCAAGATGGGATTATTCATGCAAAGATTTTATCAGGGGAAACACTGTTCAAGAGAAAACGGGGAGGAAAACTTCAGACCTAATGCAAGACTAACTCAAGGAGGAAGGGGAAGGTTGGGTAGAAGAGAATGCTGTGCAGGCTAAGGATAAGATTTGTCAAGGTCATTGGGGAGCCAAAGTCAACCATCAAAGAAGTCCTGACTCTCTCAGAAGGGCCTGCCCTAGTATCTCGGCCACACTCAGTAACTGGGTGGGAGCAGTCTATGGGAAGCGTGGCCTCAGGACACACACAGTGAAGGATCTCAGAGCCTGGAAGCTGGGACCCTTGTTCGATTATGCTTCCTATGGTTGAAGGTCTGTGAGGCATATTCTTATGCCCACAACAAATTACCTCAGCTCTCTAAAACACATTTTCCTCATCTGTAAAATAGGGATGATAATAGACTACCTCATAAGGTTATTATTAGGTAAGAATATGTAATTAAAGTGCTCAAAATAGGAAGGATTCTTTTTTTCTCTTCTTGTGCCTCTTCACTTGTTCTCAGCAACATCTAATTTATATGCAACACTGATAAGCCAGATTACATCTTCCTCCAATTTATTAAAACAGTCTTTTAAAAAGTGTTACTGAAAATGTGTTCCATGGACTAGCATTATTAGTATCACCTGGGAACTTATTAGAAATGCAAACTTCAGGGCCCTGTCTGAAACCTCCCAAACCAAATTCCCTAGTGGTAGAGCCCAGGAATCTGTTTTTTTAATGTGTAGATGATCCTTATACACAGTAAGGTTTGAGAAGCACTGCTGTAAACACAAATCACTCTTATTTCTTCTAGGGAGGAAAATGGAAAAAAAAAGATAAAATTTCTTCAAAAACAGCTACTTAATGCCAAAAAAGAATGGCAATTTGAAGCACAGGTAAGAATACCTGCATAACACCAAAAGTTACTGAGCTAAAACAGCTATTTAGAAGACATCTTTTTCAAGCAGAGAAAAGTTATGTATGAAAGATTGTTGTTTCTCCTGGGGTGTCTATACTGTTAAAAACATAAAAGAGAGTAACTAGAGAACTGACCTGGGTTGTACAAGTCTGTCCACAATAGAGCTTTGGGAGACCCCACCCTCTGAGCTCTCAGCCTGTTCTTATCCTTACATGCCACCCCCACACACCACCCACTCCTTCCCTATTTGAGATCTTGTCTTAGGCAGTCTCTTGTATTCTAACATCCCAGATAGGAAAGTCTATTACTAGAGACAACATTAAGCATATTACAAACCTTCTTATACATGGTAGTTAGGTTTAGTAATGCCATTTTATTTTTTTATTGTATCTCAAGTACAAAGTGGATTTAAACTAGAAACTAGCTCTAGTAGGATGACTAACATCTCTTCCACTAGTGGCTTTGAAAGTTACAGACAGCCTTTCATTGACTAGCTATTTGGACAATTGTATGCTTCAGAGCAGGGAATCTTCATTATTCCATACATAAACATTAGAAGAATATTTTAAAAATATATTTGGAAGAATTTTTTCAAAAGGTCACTAGTCTTTTTTTCAAGATCTTATCTTTAAGTCTTCCAAAGAAATTGTTTAACACCCCTTCTTGTTTTTTTTTTCTTTCAAGGAGCATCTTTGCATCCTTCTTGTTTTTTATTTGCCAATTATAGAGTTCCTCTGGTATTGTTCTTGACATCATTATCTTTTTTTTTTCTTGAGACAGAGTCTCGCTTTGTTGCCCAGGCTAGAGTGAGTGCCGTGGCGTCAGCCTAGTTCACAGCAACCTCAAACTCCTGGGCTCAAGCAATCCTCTTGCCTCAGCCTCCCGAGTAGCTGGGACTACAGGCATGCCCAGCTAATTTTTTCTATATATATTAGTTGGCCAATTAACTTCTTTGTATTTATAGTAGAGACGGGTCTGGCTCTTGCTCAGGCTGGTTTCGAACTCCTGACCTTGAGCAATCCACCCGCCTCAGCCTCCCAGAGAGCTAGGATTACAGGCGTGAGCCACTACGCCCAGCAGACATCATTATCTTTATTAGCCCTCTACTTATAGCTTATATTTTTTGAAAACCATTTTACCCCCTCTGGGAAGCTTCACAAACACCAGTTTGTGCTTAAGTTTTCTCTCTAATGAACAGAGTTTTTCTAGCTTTTTTCCCTGAAAAACTCTCCTATAATTTAAAAATTCCTCTTGATTGCTTAAAGCCCAGGGGTTCAAGGTTGCAGTGAGTTGTGATTGTGCCACTGTACTCCAGCCTGGGCAGTCCTCCAGTGAGAACCCATTTCAAAAAAAATATTTTTTCATTAAAAAAAATTCCTCTTGGCCGGACGTGGTGGCTCACACCTGTAATCCTAGCACTCTGGGAGGCCGAAGTGGGCAGATTGCTTGAGGTCAGGAGTTCAGACCCTGTGTCTACTATAAATAGAAAGAACTTAATTGGTCAACTAATATATATAGAAAAACTTAGCCGGGCATGGTGGCACATGCCTGTAGTCCCAGCTACGCGGGAGGCTGAGGCAGAAGGATTGCTTGAGCCCAGGAGTTGGAGGTTGCTGTGAGCTAGGCTGATGCCATGGCAGTCACTCTAGCCTGGGCAACAAAGCAAGACTCTGTCTCAAAAAAAAAAAAAAAAAAATTCCTCTTAAGATTCTTCCTTTTTAAAATAGAAGATATTTATATTATTCTCCTTTTAAGCCCTCTAAACCAACAGTGTCAAATGAAACCTCAGAGTTAGACTCTGCCAGTTAACCCTCCTATGCTACCATCATGACCATCCTTTTTTCTCTTGCCTCAAACACTGCTGATAATAGAATTTTCCAGACAGCAATGAACACTTGATTCTGAAACTTATTCTCTTGGATTACATCCATTATATTCGGCCACAGTAAAACTAAAGCGGAATGCCACTCAGATATTTTGATCATCAGCAATAAGAATAGGTTAAGAAACTAGGACTAGAAGACCCAAAGCAAGCTTTGGAAGAAAAAATAGCTATCAATATGAAATCAAGTTAAATTCCTAGAGTTTCTAAAAACCAGTAGTCAAGTCAAGTTAGGAAAACAAGAAGATAGGAAGTACATGGACACTAGAGACCTGTGGGTCAGAAAAGATGCCAGCAATTAGGATGGCAGGTTTTTGTGTGTGAAAGGGACAGTGGTAAATTGGATGTGAAGGAACAATTGTTTTAGATACTAGGCAGGAAAAAAAAGTCACAAAGGAAAAATATCAGGTTGCTGTCAGGCTACTGAACATAAGCATACAAAATGAGATAACAGTGGAGCAGCATTTTCATGAAACTAGTGGGAAAAAACAGAGAGAACCAAAGCATGGTGGCTCATGCCTATAATCCTAGCACTCTGGGAGGCTGAGGCAGGAGGATCCTTTGAGGTGTCAGGAGTTCAGGCCCAGCCTGAGCAAGAGGGAGACCCATCTCTACTAAAAATAGAAAAAATTAGCTGGGTGTGGTGGTATGCACCTGTAGTCCCAGCTACTTGGGAGGCTGAGGCAGGAGCGCAGGAGTTTAAGGTTGTGGTGAGCTATGATGATGCCACTGCTCTCCAGCTTGGGTGACAGAGTGAGACTCTGTCTCACAAAAAAAAAAAAAAAAAAAGAGAGAGAGAATCAAAATCTATGTATAAAAAAATCTATTTATCTTTTTCATACATCAGCAACAGACTTTGAAAACAAAACTGAAAATATTGTTATTTACAATAGCATCAAAAATATCAAATACCCAGCATTGAATCCAGCAGTAGCAACAATAACAACAATAAAATATGTAGGGCTTCTTTGCAGAAACCTATAAAATAATTTTGAAAAATTAAATAATACTTAAATAATTAGAGAGATGTACTATGTTTGTGGATTGTAAGACTCAGTATTATAGATATGTCAATTCTCCCACAGTTGGTCTATAAATTAATTCAATCTCAAAATTGATTGAAATTTTATTTATTTATTCATTTATTTTTGAGAAGCTTGACAAACTGATTCTAAGATTTGTACAGAAATGCTAAGGGCTAAAAATAGTCAAGACAGTATTGAAGAAGAACAAGGTAGAAGGACTTGCTTTCTTGAATTGTTAGAATTGTTATAAAGTGGCACTAATTAAAACAGTGTATACTGATGCAAGAATTGACAAATTGAGCAATGGAACAGAATATGAAGAGAGCCATTGTAGATGTGTGGCAAGGATAGCACCACAGTGCAGTTTTTTTTTGTTTGTTTTTTTTTTGAGACAGAGTCTCGCTTTGTTGCCTAGGCTAGAGTGAGTGCCGTGGCGTCAGCCTAGCTCACAGCAACCTCAAACTCGTGGGCTCAAGCAATCCTTCTGCCTCAGCCTCCCAAGTAGCTGGGACTACAGGCATGAGCCACCATGCCCCCTGTAATCCTAGCACTCTGGGGAGCGAGAAGCTTTGTTGGCTCCCGAGGTCACGGACCGTTCAAAACCAGCCTGAGCAAGAGCAGATCCGTCTCTACTATAAATAGAAAGAAATTATTGGCCAAACTATATAAAATAGAAAAATTAGCCGGCATGTGGCACATGCCTGTAGTCCAGCTACTCGGGCAGGCTGAGGCAAGAAGGATTGCTTGAGT